ACGGACGACTTTATAAACAACAAGTCAGAGATCAGTGCAGCCACCTTGTGTTTCATATTGACATTACCGATTTCAAAGGTTAACATTAAGTTATTAAACCCGTAGTGCAATGTACTCGCAGCGTTATGTAAGTCTTGTAGTGCTGACTATACCCGATAGATGGCGGTAAATAGAGGTTTTTCGTTTAGTAAAAATTTTATTGTAATTATAAACTTTATTACTTCGTACTCTTAGGTAGGTAATTTTAAATATTTGGCTGTTCAATATAAATTACCATGCTAGTGCTTCAAAACTACGCAGGTACATAGCTTTCAGTTTAACTTATCCAAAATTATTAAAATATATTTTATATTACAAATTAATCTATCCTAATATTATAAAGAGGTAAAAATTGTAAGTTTGTATCTGTCGCTAGTCGGATTGCCAAAATTCTTTCACTGATCAATAGCTACAATGTTCCTTAGTGATATAGGCTATAAAACATCACGCTACGATCAAATGGAGCCGCAGCAGCAGCGGGTGAAACCGCGTTAGAGTAGCTACTAATGTTTAAGAAGCCATTTTCGTGATAAATAGTTAACGGTTTTCTAAGAAATCACCTTGTTTGATAAGACTGCACATTGCACTCACAATATTATTATTATTTTATCACTCATTTTTTGTACGAATGCAATACATAATTAATTGAATATGTACCAAATGCTAACCGATAAACAGAAGAATAATTAAACATACCAATACAATTTAAGTACTTACAAAGGCATGTCCGACGCATTAGTCAAGAAGTTCAATGGTCACATATGCATTTTATATGGCTTACATTGGCTATTGTGTGTCCACGGACAATTGATAGACTTGTACCATAGTTAGTATGTACCGATACAGAACATTCTAGATTACCTATATAAAGCATGTATGTATATTTCAAAGATATATCTAGCGTTATTTATTATTTAGCAAAGATAACTCAAAAAAACGTGGATAAATGGTAGTGGTTGTACCATGGTTTGTTTTTACGGAAAGGTCGTATCTTATGTGACAAAATAAAGATACCTAGTAATATGTCTGAAAACATTATGTAAAATACTTACCAAATAATATAATAGAAGTAATATAAAAGGTACTTTGAATAATATAACAAATGATATAATTATACGTAAAAATGAAACCTTGACTAGTTGACCGTAAGTCATAAAAACGTTAAGCTTCTTTTAGTCAAAATTTATACCCAATTGTTAAGTTGCATAAAATAAGTACTAATACCTTGATACCTAACTGTCAAAGCCATATGTACTATGCCTAAAGCTAGATAAGCTATGTGTGCCGGGGTTAGGTTAAGCGCAATGAGTCACCGCGGCCTCGGCCCAGAGCAGGAGAAGGAACGGGGGGTTTTAGTCAGTAAGAGTCTGACACTCTTTCTCGCCTTCCCTGGGCGGGAGAGGTCATTTTGATGATTTTCCCCTGACCAAAAAAAAGGGCGGGTAAGCTATGTGTCTAGCTCGCGGCTAAGGAGATTATAGAAAACGCGTCTTCTTTCGAGATAGGTAGACGCATAAAGTCCAGAGCGGTGGACGGTCACAGACTATTGACAATGATGACGATGATGATGATGATACAATGTGCCTACTAAATACGCAAGCTTCATCCAACGGCTAGGCCCGCTGTGACAAAGTAAAAAGTTGCCTTACTATGTGGTATTTCAGACTACTATATAATACTAAGCTATCTCTGCTCTGTGTCAAATTCATTATACCTACAAATTAATACCCAAGCGGACACCGATGTCCTCTGTAACATACTTTGTCGTTTTTAACGACAAAGACGAAGAGAGTACTAGAAGAAGAGAGTAGAGACATAAAACCTTCTGATTTTATTACGATTTAACTGAATTATAGATTTCAAGGATTTTTTGTGCTAACGAATAGGTTCCTTTAGGTACCTAAGTATTTCTTAAGTAAAACACTAACAAACTTCCATCCATGCATATCTACTAACAAACTATTGCGTTTATAATATTTAATTATTCACCTAGCTATGTCTTTATAATGCGAACAGACACATGTACCTACAGCCAGGAACGTATCTGCTTAAAATAAACTGCCTTGTAGTCGGCAGCCTCTGTCGCTAATTATAATCACTTACTTACCTACGTCCGTATTCTTTAATTAAGCAATTAGCAAAGTAAAGATCTCATAAATTATGTACTTTTGTTTACACGTAAAATTCTCATTACGTTCTTGTACTGCAAATAACACAAATTCCCTTGAAGAAGTAAACAAGTTTAATTGACTGTTTTTACGCCATGAAAAAAGTTGCATTATGCCCCTGTTTTTTTTTTGTGAGGGGAAAATCATCAAATGACTTCTCCCGCCTAGGGTGAGACCAGAGAGAGTTTGAGACTCATACCGACTAAAAAGACCCTCGTTTCTTCTCCTACTCTAGGCCGAACCCGCTGTTCCTTATTGCGCTTGTCCTGCAACCCCAGCTCAAAATCGGGCATTTTGGGGCCCAACTGTGGTAATTCCAACATGGCATGGCAAGCGGACAGACAAAATGACGGTGACCAATCGGAACACCAACTGTGTTACGAGCACGTTGCCGGCCTTTTGGGGATTAAGGATTTGAGGATTTGGAAGAGAAGGTTAAGCTTCTCTTTAATTCGTGACTAAGGCTGTGGCTATAGGTAATTAATATGGTTTTCAGAAGAATCTTGAGGATCCGAAATTTGGGAACCACACAAATGACATATGATTCCAAACCCATGATAAAACGAGAGCATTTTCTTTAAAACATTTACGTTAGGTACTTGTTCCATTTTAATTTACACCTTGGAACGAGCACCTAGCATCACAGACACAGTAAAACTTGGTGGTGAATAAAATGCTTGTAAAAAAAATCTTTAAATAAAAATTATTTAATTTTACATTGACAATGAATTTATAGGATTGATAGAATTCACTGGGTATATATTACATACCCATTCATGTTAGGAAAACTAAACATAAACCTCGTGTTTGCGTCAGTTATCAAAACAAAGAGAATTATCCATTGTCTATGATCATAAGTAGGTATGTCTAATAATATTAACATAAAATATAAATATGTGGACACGTCCAAAGGAAGTAGACTTCCGTAACTTAGAAAAAAAAATGGTGATTCTTGTCCAGAATGTTGATGTACACTTACACAACTTTAGAAAATTCGAATTTAGAATGGTTTCAGGCAATTATAGTAAAATGATTAAGTTGGGAAAAGTTCAGAGGAGTTCTCTGGACTCTGGCTCGGATTTTTTTGTGTAGTAACACACAGTAGTAGCAACCGATCGCTCAGTCAATCCATACAATTTGTTTGATATGGACCAAATTAACCCATACAAAGACCTATAAAATTTACTTAAAGGGCCGCAACGCACTAGCAGCCACTATGGAATGGCAGGTGTTTATGGTACAGATTGCAAAAGCAATCCTGGTGGTAGCCAAGAACGCCTGATTCCTTGATCCTATGAAAAGGTGTGCAAATAAGCAGACGAAGATCTGTCAGATCAGTTTGCAGACCGGAAAGTAAAGAGTAAATAAATATAAGAGGTAGTGAATAACGCACAAAAAACGCGCCATTAAATTTAAAAAGAAACAAACATACCTTTTTCATATAATCCTCAAATTCAATGGCAGGGAGCAATCCATTATTATTTTATTCACTACTTAACTACGAATTTTACACTAAAACTAAAATATACTATTTAACACACTATAGAATCAAAGAAAAATGCTTTGGTGCGTAGAAAAATAGGAAAAGAGCTATGTACGGATGTGCGGACACAGCGGAGTATAACATTATGGAACACAAAATAAAGAACAACATTTTTCAAAAAATATATCTATATGTGCACACTTCGAAGTTTTGATAATGAATGACGATATATTTGGACAGAGGTAAACATATATAAGAAAGATAATAAAGGTTTGTACCGCACGCGTCCTTATCAGTGACTGCCGATTGTTCTGTCTGTCTGTCGATTTAATCGAAGCTGTAGAGTCTATACATTAAAGTAAAATATCTTTTGTCTTTACATAAACAATTATGGCCATCACCTTTATAGTCCGCTTAGCATTTGAATTGCAAAAAAATGTAGCTACGTGATTTGAATAAAACAGTAGTAAATATATTAGTTCTCTGTTCTTCGGTTACATAAACAGTAGTTATTTTCATAGTACTCGTATAAGTTTTTTTTTTATTTTCCTATAGTGACTTGTTTCTTGACGTGGAGTCTGTACCTTTATAAGCCACTGCCTTGTCCCTGCGTTGGTAAAATATCTTTTGAGAAAGCACTTTGGTACAGAACCTTCTAACAAAAACAACGAAAAAAAAATAAAGGAAGAAATACAACATGAGATCTATATTTACCAACTTGAAAATACAAGCTAAAAACTTAATTTTCAAACTGCAGCAGTTAAAGTTTCAAGTAATGATAAAAAAATATGTTTAGCTATGTTATCCTCTACTGTTTTCTTTTGAAGACCTTATAATAGAGACTTAATAGATTCTGAAAATCGCATGACCGCTTCGCCTTGGGACTAATACTCAAAAAAATAGTTCCAAAACATTCATCACCTTCCTTAAAAATCAGTCAAAAAAGATTTACTAACTGCACTGAGTAATTTGATCTACAATTCAGACACAAAGAAAGCCCTTTAATAGGGTAAACCAGCCAAATTCGATACTTTTATCCAAACGTCAAAAACTATACTTTTCTATGAAATTTGTATGAAAAACTGAGTTACGACGTCATAACATTTTTGCGTCAAATAGCTTATTCATTTCTTAATAATTAGTCTAAAACTTAGTGTATCGACCGATCGATGAATAAAAGTATAGGTAGTTATTTTTCAATATTTTATTATATTGAAACGTCAAATTAATTTATTTTTGACCTAGGAAACACACACGTAAAACTTGTAGAACCTACTCCAAGACTCAATTCTCTTTTTCTTTTCTTCCAGTGTGCTGGCAAGCGTGAACCCGAGAAGGAGCAAGAAGCTCAGCAATGGATTGAAGCGGTCATTGGCGAGAGGTTCCCCAACATGCCTTACGAGCTGGCCCTCCGTGACGGTATCATCCTGTGTAAACTGATGAACCGCCTTCAACCAGGCATCATCACCAAGGTCAATGTGTCCGGTGGTGACTACAAATACATGGATAATATTAACCAGTAAGTTGGTTGTTTTAGTATTTTTTATAAGAAATCGAGGTGGTCGTATATATTGTCTCTTTAAAAGAGGAATGGTTTAATTAATACGTACAGATAGCAAGTGCTTATTATAATAATTATACCAAGACTAGCTACTCTCACATAGTTACACCCGCAGCTCACATCCATTTGATCGTAGCTTGATGCTTTATAGCACTTAGGAACATTGTAGCTATCTATCAGTGACAGAATTTTGGCAATTCAACCAGGCGGCGGTTACAAAGATTAACCCCTATATACTAACTTAAAAACTACCTCTTTATAATATTAGTAAGTATAGAAGTATAGATAATATATGTAGATTGGACAACAGTGTCCTATGAAATGTCGGAAATGTATACTTAGCTCTCAGTTTCGAGGTTTTACCAAGTACCTCACTACTTACTCGAAACTGAGAGCTAACAGGAACTATTACAATTGGATAAAGGTCCGTTGAAACGTATGGGGTAAACTACAATATCACTGTCAACGTATACAACATGTGACACGGGCTTACTTAATTAAACTTCAAGTACCTACCTACCTAAAGTGCACTAGCTCCCAGATATGGTTTCTCCAATGTGTAATTCCTCATTGTTGTTTTTATTACTCATAAATAAAATACTGGTTTGTTGTACGAATGTAAAAATATTTGTTGAAGGTTTACGATGCGGAAAAAACTGTCGCAAGTTCAAAACTTTCAATCGACCTTCGAAATGTTCCGTTCCCTTACTACTGAACTCGTCAAATTAATGTTACTATAAACTTTACCTAGGTGGACATATACACATAAAAACGGCTATACCTACATCAAGCTTAGGTACTAATTAGTTTGTAATGGTCTAGCTTTGAATGATCCTTCCACACATTAGATGCTCAGCGTATACTGGACTAGCTACTCAAACGCGGTTTTACTCGCTACTCGGCTTAAGCCTATAGCATTCGGGAATATTGTGGATATCAATAAGTGAAAGAATTTTAGGAATCCGTCCAGTGGTTCCAAAGATTACCCCCTACATACAAACTTACAAACATACAAACTTACAAATTATACCTCTTAATAATATTAGTATAGATTAAACAGTTTTGACTGCTGAAAATTAGATCGTACGAAAGTATCTAAGTATACAAAAAAAAGACTTTAATAGTTTTGAAAAATATCGTGACACCTGTTTGTATCTGAGAAAAAAAATAATGAAGATATAATTAATAAATAACCAGAAACCCTTGTGACCATCCATAGAAAATTAAAAACACACCAGTCAACCATTTAACCACAGATGTCATGTTTTCCAGGTTCCAGAAAGCGTGTGTAAAGTATGGAGTACCCGATGTGGATCTCTTCCAAACAACAGACCTCTGGGACCAAAAGAACATCGCACTCGTGACACAGACCATCTTTGCCCTTGGAAGGACGGTACGTACAGAGTTGGAGAAATTACCTTTTGACGTTGGACGCCATGTTTTTTATTAAATTATTCTACATCAGACTGTAAATGTTTACAAATCCGACTAATTGTGTTAGTATTTTGTAAATCAGGCTTTTTTTAACCCAAATTGATACATGACTGATGACATTATTGTTCAAATATCAATTTATTGTCACATTTTACCTGCTTATAAGAATGTTTTTACTGTACCTACTTAAATCCATTAAAAATATACCCAAACTAGCTAATCTCGCGCGGTTTCACCCGCTGCTCAGCTCTATTTGATCGTAGCGTGATGTTTTATAGCATATAGCACTCAGGAACATTGTAGCTAATTATCAGTGAAAGAATTTTGGCAAAACGACCAGCGGTTCCAGAGATTACCCCCTACATACAAACTTACAAATTTTACCTCTTTATAATATTAGTATAGATAAATGCGTTAAAAGCAATCTAACTAGTTTTTTATAATGAATAATGTTAGAAAAAATCAAGAAATAATTAACGATTATTAATTTACAGGCCTACAAGCACCCAGAATGGCGCGGTCCCTACTTAGGCCCCAGGCCAGCTGAGGAGAACCGTCGTGAATTCAGCGAAGATGTTCTTCGTGCTGGTAACGCAGTTATCGGTCTTCAAGCTGGCACCAACAAACTGGCCAGCCAATCCGGACAGAACTTCGGAGCATCCCGCAAAATCATTCTCGGCAAGTGAAGTACTAGGCTTCCAGAAATCAGTTAGAGATGTATGTACTTGTTTATTGTATTAATTTTTATTTAAATTATCCAAGAAGATATTTTATATATTTTTTAAATGTACTCTTAAACATTTGTTTTTGAAATTGTGTAAAAAATATTGTATAGTAAGTCAATTCAATGCCAAAGATTTAACGAAATAAATACTGCTTCACCAAAGGTACTTATCGTATTTAAGTAATTCAGTATTATATTGTGTATTACCTACCTATTATATTTTGGAATCCAATGTCTTCAAACCCGATTAAGAATGCTTAGTTTTATTTAATGTATTTATAATTATTATTAATTATCATAATCCTAAGTACTAATCATGAAACTGTGATGTTTTCGAAGTTGGGTGAGGATTAACAGTCGGTACAAAAACTTTTAAGTATTACCGTACCTACTTTAAACGCCGAAAATAAACGACTATCTACAGAAACATTGTTTTTCTTATCAGCAACTCACCTCAGTCCACGTAAGCACATAATTGTTCAAATATCTCTTATCTCTTACCAAAAAAGTCAAAAATCCTGATTTCTTAATGGCACTGAAGATGCCTATCATCATCGTAGAAATAAAAACATTTTGCAGATCAGTTTTTTTCTTTCAAAAATGCTGTATACTAGCTAACTAAACAGTATCTACCTTTATATATATGCATATAAGTATACCACAAGGAAACATTTTGTTTCCTATTTGTATAAGCCTGTTAAAACCTACCGAACCCACTCTGCAAGTCCTGTTTTAGCTAGGATCTAAAGTATATGTAAACACTGGAACTCTAAATTCCAGTGTCCACCTAGAAACTTGAATAACGAATCATCATCATGAAGACAACGAAATAGTTTCCTCTTCCCTTTTGTTTTCCATTAAACTCAGTTTAATGCAGGAGACAAAATTACTTCAGACTTAGATAAATGCACAGTAAGACTGCTCAATAGGGAAAAGCCTGTGACTCCTCTGGTGCTGCAGATGTCCATGGCGGCGCTGATCACTCACCATCAGGTGATAAGTCTGTTCGTTTGCCTCCTATTCCATAAAAAAAAATACTTAAAGCTAAGAACTAAGTGGGTCGAATGCGTATGCTAACTAGACCTTCTGTCGTACAAGAGCAAAACGTTCACTATCCCAGATTCAGTGCTATGCGATTTGAGTTACTTACTGCCTTTAAGATTTTTTGAAAGATATTCCGTACATATCTAATTTCTGATCATTCTAACTTTGACGCAGTCTGTCTAAAAATAACAATAAACTCTTTCACTATTTTCATGCACACACACCCAATATATATATACACACACACAATATATACTTCTTTATGTAGTACATACTTGTTTTAACCGTACACTACACTACCCAGGGCCAAATTTCTTTTATACATTTCCATCTATGATGAAGTGGATATCTTCAGTGATACATTACCTGTATTTAAAAAAAATGTGTTGGGGATTTTTGGGAGGACTGAATTCCAATAAACTTTGTTTAAATAAAAAAAATGTTTATGTTTTATATATAAGTACTTATTTTATTTTAATTTAATTAAGAATCGTAATTTTTGCAATTTCTATCTTATTACTCTTCCTACTATTTTAAATTATATTCTTCTTTATTAATTATTTTTTTTGTCACTACGAAATATTTTGTGCATGTTGTGACACCTTAAAATGCTGTACATTTAATTTTATTATAGTGTATTTAATGTTTAGATGTAAGAAATAATGTAGCAGCTACTGGTTGTCCATAATTCAATAAATAAATAAATAAATCTAAAGGTTGTCTGGAAGAAATCACCTTGTGTGATAAGACCGCCCATTGTAATCACAACATTCGGTCATAGTATCCAATGTATTGCTACTTGGTGTATGTGTGCAAAAAAGTATATATAAATAAATAAGTACTAGAATATTTTGTTTGTCAGTCTCGTCTCATGTCCGAAGTACCAGACCAATGCCCTTGACCGCAAAAGGCGATCGCAACGCCACCATACCACTGATGGGGCGCTCCATAAAAAAGTCCTCTGCTATCTTTTTTTGGCGCAGATGTTATTATTATTATTCTACACTTGAAGAAGGAAAATGTGCTGTTCCTTTCTAGCTGATAAGAAGGACCACCTATGAAGAATCTCAATGATTTATAGTTAGGTTCCGTACTTACTTATCTATGAAAATGACTATTAAGTACCTACTTACGAACTTTTTTTTTAATCTTTATTTATTTAAAGGACCTTTATCTGTATCCGGTCATATTGATACAAATCGGAAAAACCCTAAGTAAGTAAGACATAAAGTAACAATAACTTACGAACTTAGTTACAAAACTGCCGGGGTTGCGGGTTAAGCACAATGTGTCACCGCGGCCTCGGCCCAGACCAGGAGAGGGAACGGGGTGTTTTCAGTCAATAAGAGTTTGACACTCTCATTTGATGATTTTCCCCTGACAAAAAAAAGGTACTTACTTATTAATTTGACATTTCATAAATAGGTACCAATTGATTTTTACTTTATCTACTTAGATACCTAAGAGGGAAAAATCATCTCCCACATACCTACAAATTCACATACACAATCCACCCACGCCTAAAATAACAATTTGTGGACCACAAAAGTTTTGTTCATGCAGGAATTAAAACCGCAACCACGTTGCACACGGATGGCGACGATGGCGAGCATGGTAGCTCGCCGCCTGATCAGAACCAGGTCCAAGTGTACGGCGCGTAGCGTTCCGCGCGCGCCTCAAAGAGCGAATAGACCACCACAGACGGGGCCCTATGGGGCTGATGTTCAGCCGGGGTTGCGGGTTATACGCAAAGGGGCACCGCAGCCTCGGCCTGAAGCAGGAGAAGAAGTAACGGGGGGTTTTTAGTCAGTAAGAGTTTGACACTCTCTCTCGCCTTTCCCAGGGCGGGAGAAATGATTTGATGCGAAAACATCTTCAGCTCCAACGCATACATGGTTGGTAGTCAACGACTGTGCGATTTACGCGAAACTTTCTGCCCCGCACAGCGGAAACTTTGGGATGATCTTCTGCCGGTGGCAATCCTGAACCGATACGATCATTCTCAGTAACTTACCTAAGTATTTGGGTTGGAATCACTAGACAACAAAATATGTCCGTTCGTGTCGCCACATATCACGCGTAGGTACCTACTACCCTTAACAAAATACTCTATCGTTTCATCTATATTTTTTAAAATAAGCAGCAACTTATTTTTCTAATTTCGTAACTAATTATAAAAAGAAAGACCTCGACCTCGTAACCATGTTGCTTGCCCCTTTGACGCGTCGAACATTAATGCTTCGATACCTATTTTCATGATTGGTACACAGATTGTTGTTACTGTGGTGTATAGGTAAGTACAATAGAACCTTTGTGACTTAAAGTAATTTAATGAGGCGGGTTTGTCCCACCCTAATGAATGAATGATAAATGATGATGAATGTAATACATAATGACCGCCACTGAGACACACTACACTACCTATGTATTCTTTCCCCAAAAACCGAGCGTATTTTGGAAGCACCTTGTCGTAAAAAGGTATATAGGTGCATACAAGAAATAAAATAAAATTAGGATGCAGGAAAAATCAGACAAAAAAAATGTTTGTTAAAATAGTAGAATAAATCATAAGTACCTACCTACTTACTTAGGTGCCTACCTACTTTTAAAACACCTGGTAGGATTGTTGGAAGATATTCTTCAAAGGTAAGGTAGTAGCTACCTACTCGAGAATTTTACAACCTGGGAATCTGCAGGAACAATCGATGCATTCTGAAAGAAATGTAGGTATATTAAATACATACCTAACTTTATTATTACTAAATAATTTGATATTATTATTCTTTTATTAGATTTAACAATTTTATTGCGGATACTTACCTATGCCAGTTAAGGTATGGTCAAATAAAAATACTATGCAATTAATAGTATGTAGCGACATCTAGTAGCGTTAGTGCAAACAACAACCAGCAATGAGATTACGTAAACCACATATTTTAATACAGATGGCGCCAATTCACGAAAGCAAGGTCGTCTATAGTGATGTCCGTAGCTTTAACAAAAAAATTATAAAATGTCTCATTGGAATATCATAAAATCTTAAGTTTCTTATTAGTTTGTATTTAAACTAAGTATTAAAACAGTACTAAGCCGATTGACCGTGAGCTCGAAGACTTATCAGAAAAAATGGGCATGTACAATTTTACATTTCTTTTTAGAAATATTTTGGCGATAAGAGACAACCTTGACATATTATTATATTACGTCAAATCACATAATGCACAGAGATAACCAATATTTTGTAAGTATTCAGCAGTTACGATGGGCATGGCAACTGATTTGATATACTAATGAATATGCAACTGAAGCAAGCACGTTTGCAAACATTTTGTCACAGAGTCACAGATACAACAATGTCGACTTTGCGTGCAAAGAAACGAGTACATCACTAATGTTAAATAACACAAGCCCGCAAATACTTGTTGTGGAATTTATTTTTTACACTGCGTAAATTGAATGTGAAATGTGTGTATAAACTATCCAAATGTTAATAAACACGTGAGAAAATGATAACATTCGGCGGTGGGAACAATTCCACGGCGATAGAAGATACAGGTGCGGTGTTGTGAACTTTGTTTTTAGTTAACGTCTTGTGAGGACTTTGAGTTATTGAATTGTTATTTTGTAGGGGAAGTGAGGAGCATCTGCGAGAGTATATGCAGCGATGGGTCTAGTGCGACGGTACAGCCCGGGGGCTCCAACCAGCGACCTCGGATGGATATAGCATGTGTTTTGGATATTACCCAAACATTGAATCTTGCACATAGGAAAAGGGCTTTGGAAGAAGTTCGATTGGCATCTGAACTGGTGAATGCTAATCTACATCATATACCTGTGAGTTTTTATCTTAACTTAGTACTCAAATTAAGCCAAATTTGCATATTGCTAATAAGTAATGGATGTCCTTCAAATACCTCTTTCCTCTTACAAAAGAATGCAGTACCTATAGAATATAGCTGATTCTAATTTTAAATATTTAAGTTCTGATTTGATGGTCATGAAAACAAATTGATGAGAGGAGAAGTAATACATATCTAATTCTATTTGTAGTAAAAAAAATCTTAATGTCAATGTCAATAAGAAAATAAATTAGTAATTAACAAAAAATGTACAGAAGATTCACTGTGTTCTTAAAAATGTATGAATATTCAAATTTACAACTAATTCTTTCAAGTTATATGCTGTGGAAATCCATTACTTTTACAATAAACAATATAAATATGTTAAAGAAAACAATAATTCAAAGTGTAAGTTCCAAATAAACAATAAATTGTAGATGTCCATAACCTTACAAATTAAATGTAAAAATTATTAAATGAAATAATTACAACCAAATTATCATCACAACAAATAGTCACTGGATTTTCCCTCCATTTACTAGTGACTTAACTTATGTTCGTACAATTATGTATTGAAGTGCATTTGTGCTTTCTTCAAGATTGCACTAAGAATGGACTTCTACTGTTCTTTCACTTTAATTAATTATCTTTGTTGGTACTTCATGAGAGACTAATCTTGAGTTAAATGTGGTACCTATGCTCAGTATGTCTTTAAATGCTAGTGTCATCTTATTAATTTCAAAAACATTTTTATTTTAAAATGCTTTTCGTCACATCTTCACTGACCACCATGCAAGACGGTGGTAAACCGCAATCTATTAAATTGCAAGGAAAAGAACTGCCACTTATTGGTGTTTCTTATTACTAAGAAGTGGTTCTTTATTGCATGTTTGTATACAATCATACAACAACAAGTTTATGAAATAAATAAATATGCTTCATTTTGTTTAATATACTGGACTTTGTCTTGTAGCAAGGTTTTCGTGCTAGTTTATTAAGATATATGCTAGTCTGCTGCTTTACTGCTGATTCTTTAGTATTGCAGTTACTATGTCTATGTCCAGAGTTATTTTTAATACTTAAAAACATGAATATAGGGAAGGGGTGTACAATATTTTCCGATTATTCTTGCCTAATATTTTTCATTTATTATTATAAAATTGCCCTTACAAAATCCTTTGTGACTATAAGTAAGGTGTCTTAGACCTGGCAACTTCAATTATAGTTTTGAATATTTATGCGAAGACCTAATGTAATAAGAAAACTGATGTTTCAAAGTGAAGCTGTTTTGTAGGTCTATCTATTATTGATTCATTTTCTATGAATGTGTTAATTTCCAAATACAAATAACTAGTATTAAATTTCCTCACTTTTTTAGTTCGAGAAGCTGGACTTTGGTGAAACAAATGTATTGGACACATTCTACAATGCAGACGTGGCTTTGGTGGACCTCAGCTTGCAAGTACAGCAGAGCTCGTTACTCTATCACTTGGGAGTACGGGAAAGCTTTGACATGAAGGAGAATGTTCTACTGTACAATGATGTTGATGCGGACTCTACGCTCAGGCTTAAGGTATGTTTTTTCTTTCTTACTGACATATATTAAAAATATTTTTTACTGTCTGAAAGGAATTTAAATAGGGTGTTGGTTTTTAAATGTAAAACTCACTTTGTGCCAGTTATGAGTCCCAAGTAAAACAGGGTGGCAGCTCTTGAGACAGATTTTTTTCAAATACATTGGAACAGTATTTTAATATCTCCTGGCCATACAACACCATTCTTTGTATACCATAAACATTTTGTTCTTTGATTAATTTCATTAAGGTAGGGCAACTTATGCTTTTTTACAGTGTATTAAATCGTAAGTTAATTTTGCCAGTTTAGGTTTAGTTTAGTTAACATCTACCTATGTATATTACTTACCAACTTTACTCCAATATCATCAGAAGAGTTCACACAACCATAAGCAAATACTAATTTCCATTAAAGCTACAAAAGCATAAACTTAAATGGAAATAGTCGAGATTTTCTAATCTTACAGAAAAAATGTTTAAATTTTGAATGTATTGTATTCTGTGTACACTTCATTTGTTTCTGTTGTTTTAGTTTGAAATCTATGTGTTTCGCATCTTCTTGATAAAATAAACTCATATTTAAAAAAAAGTTCATGAAATAATTTGCTGTATACTGTCATACATTCATCATACATTTTGATGACCAAGTTTTAATAAAAGTTACAGCGTCTATAAAAATTTCAAGTGGTACATTTTTCGTTTATAGTACCGAAATATTTATAAGGGCTATTCTTACATAACACTGGTTAATTTTATGTACCATGTTTAGCTGAACCTAATGCCACTTAAAACTTGAAACTGGTATTCGCCCTTCCGCTTTTTATTTCTCGCCGTCCCATAATTTGATGAACTGCTCTGCAATTCAATAAACCCATAATTTATTAGACTTCTGTAATTCTACTGCTAAGCAAACTCACCTGTTGGTTTTGGGTGAATGGAAGTAGAGCTACCCTTTTTCGCTGCCCGAACAGAATCATCCCCGACCGTTTGCTTCAAAGAGTCACCAGGACACAATGGATGGTACCTACGGGTATGACGTAGCACGGCCCGGCTCAGAGTCGGAGTTTGAACGGGGCGGTTTTTCGTCAGTCTGACATTCCCCCGACAGCGGCAGATAATTGGCCCCCTTTCAACAGAAAAACCCTTACTCTTCTTTCCTATGTTACAGACGACTAACAAACTACACATTTAAAAGAAATAGAGAAACAGTGCTTTCTAATAAACAAAAAAAAAAAAAATAGAACTTAGTTAGAAAGTTCAGTTTGCCACCTTCGCCTGATATGGTAGACAGAGGTCTTATAGACGCCATCATTATTGGAAGTTTATCTATTTTTGATTTTATAAAATACAAGAAAATAACAACATTACAAATATTTGTGACTTCTATGTAAGATATAATGTGCCCGCCAGAATTGAAGGCGCCACTTATCTTAAAATAGACAAAGTCATATGTTACTTACTTGAGTCTATTATTAAGAGCGCAGTACCGTGCAATCATATAATTACCACTATGTTCAGTAACAAAAGATGTTCTGTTCTCTCGTACTCTACCCATGTACTATTGTACTCAAATCATTCAATATTACCATAAGTAGATACTTAGTTTTCCCATATGATTAGATTTTTCCCCAGCTAATAATAATGTTGATTAGCTCTGCATCCGCGATTTTCGCAATAGAATTACCTTTTTCCTCATTCCAGGCAAATTTTAGGTCTTTTCTCACTCTCTCTCTCTCTATTATAGTTTTTCTTAATTTTCAGAGAGTTCTGTTATTGTTTTTAATTTGGCCGGACATTAGTTAGGTACTATAAAAAATATTGGTGTCCTAGATATACATGTGAACTGACATGACACACATACCAATATGCAACAAGAGAACATATCTATTAGTAGTTACGAAATATTGTCAATAATCGTTGTAGGCGTTACCACCCACCTATTATCTGATTGGGCTGGCCTTACTAATAATACCTACCTTTTTGTACCTATACCGCTATTATTTTATTTCACGATTGAAAAATAGTTTTAGATGACCATCAGGTATTTTTAATGTTTATGATCGCAACAAATATATTAACTACAAGCTCGTGCCCTTGTTAACATTAAAAGTATGTAAAGAGATGTCTGCAGTATCTAGGTACCTTACCTTCTGAAAATATTTTTTTATGAATGAAATATGGACGCACAAAATTATAGGGTCTATTTCGAAATAGGAAACAACGAAAGACCAGGTTCTATAAAATGTATATTCTTTTATTTTGTTGTTATTAAAACTTTGTGCTTGATACCTATTTACCTACATATGATGAACCTGTACTAATTAGTCCCAATGACGTAATAAGTTTATAATTTTATTTGATTGGTTGAGGAAAATAATTATTTCTTAATTTTTGTTATTCCATTTTTATTTATTATTTGGTTAAACGAATGAATTAAAATAGAAATGCGGTCAGCTTAGTCTTTGGAACGGTAAAGGGTACTGTGACTAATATACCCCATTGTGTTTAAAAAGACATGGAATTGTACGTTAATAACAATTAAATTTCAACTTAAACGTTGAAAAATTACCGAATGTTTTGTGTTATGTTTTACACCATAAATTACTAATTAACTCACATGGTGTTATGCTATATTAGAAACTTTATCGATTACACTACTTTAAAAGTGTGTCTCCAAGCTCACTGTCAGTAGATACATAATACAGACATAGTAACAAAATTATGTGTTTTTAAACGCATCCACTACCTACGGTATATGAGTGAATGCAACGTATTTCTTAAGCCCTCGATTTTGGAATACTTTATATCATTATACATACTTGTCGGTATATTATGCTCGGTTATAGGCTTAATTCCATTGGAGTAATAACTCCCAATGGAATTTATAATTACTAGCTTCTGTCGCGCGGTTTAACTCGGTGCTCGGCTCCTACAAATCGTAGGATAAATGGACTAACAAACATAAAAAGAATTATTAGATTCGAACCAGTAGTTCTGGAGATTAGCGTGTTCAAACAAACAAACAAACAAACTCTTCAATTCGCACATATCGTTGAGAATGCTAGCATCTTCATTCACGCGTCACCAGCTCTGTGAGTTGATATCAATTTTCCTATTCCGATAATTTAAATATATCCAACTTCCAACTCCTGTCATCCACATCTGGTGCACCTATCAAGCCATTACTCTCAATTTGTCAAATTGTCCCGTTCGTGTGTTCAATCATTTGATTCTAGAATGACAATTCAAATACCTCTGTACTTAATTCAATTATGGAACGTTTTTATTTGAAGATTGAGGTATTGTATTCTATTCTGGCCTTTATTGACCAATTGTTGTTGGTTTTCATGTTCTATCTAGTTGGAAAAACTGTTTATCTGTAGCTTTAGGTTCAAATTACTATAGCATAAGTACGTAATTTGTGTAAATTATGCCATGCGCGTTCATTTAACTAACGGATAATGGGGAGACCTTTTAATTGGATTAGGTATTATACCAGATGCAAGATTGTGATTCAAGTTAAGAAAGTATAGGTATATACATACATATAACTCGGTCTTTGTTCATACATATACATGTGTAGAAAAAAAGACAGTATGTACAGTTGCACGCTTATTTGGTATGCTGGTACGATAATAAATATTAATTCAGTACAGTAATGATAAAGATTGCTTGGCTGTCTGTGTCCTTTTTTACCCGACTGCCAAAGAAGGAGGGTAATGTTTTTCGAGTGTATGTAAGTATGTATGTATGTCTTTTCCTTTGTGACCTCCTGTAGCCTAAACGGCTTGATGGATTTTGATGTATGAGGTATCGTTAGATTTGTCTTGATTACGGGAGTGTCATAGGATACATTTTATCCTAAAAGTCCCACGGGATAAAGACATAATAATATTTTTTCTAAATTTCCCTTTAAAAAAATATGTATGCGGTATCATTAGATTCATTTCAATCACGGGAGTAATTAATATAGGATACGTTTTTTCTCAAAATTCCCACGGGAACATGTTAATTCTGCGTCAACGCAAAGCAACTCATGCGTTAGCAAGCAAAAAGATAGGGCGTGGCCTGGCATGCGGCGCGCGGCGCGGTGCGGAGGGGGATATGCTCGAGTATACAGCCCGAATGCGTACAACATTTTCGTTAAATAAAAACAGCTAAAAAGTTATAAATAAAAAAATTATTATTAAAAAAACAAAATACCCGACTACACACTAAAAAAAGAGTAAAACAAGCCCCACAATACAAATTTACTGAATATAATTTATAAATGTTGATGGAAAGCATCGCAGGCGGGGACCACCTTGACCGCCACCAACGAAAATTCTGCTAAATGGTGCACAACAGAAATGACTATAAATAAGCCTCTGTTGGTCCCCGCCTGCGATGCTTTCCATCAACATTTATAAATTATATTCAGTAAATTTGTATTGTGGAGCTTGTTTTACTCTTTTTTTAGTGTGCAGTCGGGTATTTTGTTTTTTTAATAATAATTTTTTTATTTGTCAATGGCTTGTCAAATAGCTTCTGTCGCTTGTGATGAAGGCAGTCCACTGCCTATGGAATATCGACTACAGGCAACCACCAGTTGGTATCTCATCATCATTAGCAGCCTGTGACAATGCACAGATGGATTGTGCGTCTTATTTAAGAATACAGGTGGCCTTGATCTCTATATTACAAAGGCTGATTGGAAATCCCATTTTAATAGGTCCGGGTTTGTCAGAGAGCCCTTCTGCCTGGTCTCGTCAAATGTATAGTCCGGGAACTGTAGTCTGTTGTGCTGTTGGTGTCTTTTGGGAACTGTAAGGGTGGTCACAAAATGTATTTTATTTCTTCTACACTCCTATACCTACCTCCACTACACTGCTATATGTTCGGCATCTATAAGTAAATAAACAAACAGATCAACACGCGAGTGGGCGTTATCTGCGTAGTAAACGGCTATGCAAGTCAATTTTTAAGGTCAGTACATGGACGATCATAACAATTAATAACATTTTGTGTTGTGTGTTTTTTAATTATTTTGTTTTGTTGTTTGGCTCTTGTAGGTATGGTTTCTTAGAATGGGACTTAGATTACGGCGATTTATATACATGGCTTATAGAGACCCAACGCGACGTCGAATCAAGGTAGCCTAATCTGTTTTTTTTTAATTTAATGCTTCCTATGGAAAATGTCCTATGGAAAATGTCCTATGGAAAATGTTCCTATGGAAAATGGTCCACCTAACGCCATACAGTCAGCGTCGCCTAGTGAAACTCGCAACACTAGTGTTAGGTACTATTGATTGGAAATATACGGATTGTCAAATTTCTTCAATATAATTTTAGCTCTTTTTTCTATTTTGTAATATAGTCGAGAATGCATTGGTGTGATAATGGATAACTGCCCAATTATTAACTAATTTATCTTCTCTTTGAGTGTGGAAAATCACCAAACTATTTCTTTATTTTGGGGAGATACAGATAGCATAAGAGTCTTTGACTGTTATTGACTAAATACCACCCCGTTTCTTCTCATACTCCAGGCCGGGGCTGTGATCCCTTATTGCGCTTAACCAGCAACCCTGGTAGTTGAATCTTGATTTTGTAGTTTCATAATATAGTATACTTACAGAAAATTAATATATATACAATTCCGCCAACGTATACGTTAGCCGATTAGCTGCGCAGTAAACAATTTTGTTCCTAAAAGATCCATTGCGCAGACAAACGGCTAACTTCAGACTCGCCAAGATACGTCGGCCGTACTATAGGGTTATATTTTTACCAAATTATAAAAATTATATACAATAACGGTTCTTAAGTTTGAGTTAGTCCATGACAAATACAACTTATAAGTTGCCCTTTACCTAGAGTAAAACTTTACGCCATTCGTCAGGTGATCTGCATTACCCGTTATTTTTATACAAAAGTCACGATGCGTAAGAAACACACGCGTCTTGAGATAAAACATAACCAAAATATTTTATTTTATGTAATATTTACCAATTGACGTAACAATTTGATAATACTAGTAATCGAGTAAATAGTTGAGATCTTTATCAGCATGAGAACAATGTCAGCTTAATCTTATCAGACTCGAAGCAGTTTGACAGTTAAGAGCAATTTCTTAAATCAGTTGTCGGGTTAACTGATTTAGGAATACAATTTTGTATTTAACTCAATCTCTCAAATTTTATTTTATTAAGTCATCGGAATGACTTACTTTTTACTCTGTTGCTTAATTAAAAACAAATTGCTAATTTAGATGGTAACTAAGTATATGCTATTTTAACATGTAAACATATAGCATAACTAGCTAATATCGCGCGGTTTCACCCGCTGCTCCATTTACTCGTAGCGTGATGTTTTATAGCCTATAGCACTCAGGAACATTAAAGCTATCTATCCGTAAAAGAATTTTAAAAATCCGACCTCCAGCATCTACATACAAACTTACAAATTTTACCTCTTTATAATATAAGTATAGATATACTTATAGGATAATGTAAACTAGGTACAATAAAACAATCTATAAATGGATGATTCAGGAAGAATAGCTATTGATGTCATAAACAGACTGTATGGGTTTTTAAGGAAAACATGTATTTTGACAACCATTAATCGACTCATCATCATCAGTCAACTGATGGTATATACTAGCTCTGAATTGAATCAATCTACCTATATTGTCTTGCCTGTAGACCAAATGAACACCGGTGTCCTCTGTGACGTCATCGAGTTTTTACCTCTTAAAATCCTAAGCGGATATGGATGTCCTATCTCAACACTTTATTATAGACCATAATTCCGATACCTCGAAATTAAATGAAAAAATGTATGAACTGCTTGAATATTTAAAAAGTTAATTAGGTAGTACCATGCATGACTCCATGTCAAAAAGTAACAACAGTTAAATTGGTTCATTATTTCCTATTGTGGTTTTGAACCCCAAAAAGTACCTACTATTAGAGAATAAGCCACTGGTAATATTACAAGGCAAATTTAGCCATTTAATAATATATTCGCAATATTCCTATTGAATGAATGACGAAGCGGACACCATCAATGAATTACTCATACTCTTTATCAATTTAATAGGTACTTAATATTCGTACTTGAGTTCTTTGGTGGAGTGCCTGATCACGTGCTTCTGTCGGGCTAGACATGTTGGGTTCGTTACCTAATTGGGCTTAAAACTAGACAACCATTTACCTACACATTTAGTTTTTGACACCTACAGCGTTTGGGCAAACTGACCTCTTGCAAGAAAGTGCCATCTGCATCTGTAGTGCAAAAGAAAGGTGGCACTCATTGGATTACCTGCTGAAAAGCAATCGGCGCCACCTAGCGAAACCCGGAACACGAGAGGAGTTCCAAATGCGTTGCCGCCCTTTTGTGGTTAGCAATTTTAGGATTGGAGATTAGGGATGCAACGATGGAGGTGGCCCCTCCAATTCCTAGGCGGAAGATTGGGCCTCCGGCTACCTCGTTTACACGTTTTTGTTTTTTTGTTTCACGTTAAGGCAGTAGTATCACTCCGGCTGAGCTAACCCATTTGTGGAAAAGTATTACTCTTCCAGACGTTTTGTTTGAATGGCATGGCGTTGGATTCTGTTCGTTATTGTCATTATTGAAAGACGTCGCTAAAGCAAAAGCTATTAAGATTAGTAATTGGCAAAGGGTTCACAAGTGCTTTCTCAATGTCCCCAACTTAATAAACCAATAAGCAATATTTTAGTATCAATTTTACGAAAATTCTCAGTAACACGGTGCTTGTATCCAGATATAAATGTATGTCAATAGGCTCATCTCCTCCATACGACACTTTGACTAGCAAAAAGTAGGTATGAACATTTACCAAGTACACCTCTATATCATCCACTACCAAGATTAAACTCATTGAAAACTTTTATAATTCCAACAACTCTGTTTAAACGGAAAATAATATGTTTGTCAGTTTCCACAGTTGTCTCTACCGAATTTCCTGTTCGTATCATACAAACTCACGGAGGCTGGGACTTGTGTGACGACGAACCCTGCAGCCACGAAGTTCAAAGGAGATGATTCAGCTGACCCCAAGCAACCGTTGACGTTAAGACTCAAGAATGTCCTGCAAGATGTCGAAGTCCAGACTAAGTAAGTATGTTTAGGAAAATTGGCCCTTTTTTCACAAGATTGTGGTTATATACCTACCCTCTTTTATGGGACGCAGACGAGTAGATGGAGCCTCGTGGTCGCCTATAAACACCTAGGTACCACACCAGAGGAGTTTTCGATCAAAATAGAGCCCCTGGGTGAATGATTTAAAATGTAAAAATATTAAAGCACTTTTTATCTAGATTAGATTGGAGCCTTCCAAATTAATTTTGGCATAGTCGTATGTATTCATCAATAACGTTTTCTATTTCTAATAAGAAGAGGAGGATCCTTTTCATAAGGGAGCTCGTCCCAATGATCGAACGAACGTCCCAATCTCCTATAATATGGTATTAAATCAATAATCTTGTATAAAACCCAATGTATCTTTCCTTCACAGAGCTCATCTCCAAGAGAAATTCTTATCTGACCTGCGCAAAGCTCGAGAGACGTACAGCGGTAGTGAACTCGCGAATATGTTGCACGCTATGCGCCGGCGCCTAGACGACCCGGCCGTTCTATCAGGAGACACGATACTCAACATGTTGATATCCTACAGAGAAATCCAGGACTATGACGCCATAGTACATGTCGTAGACGACCTTAAAACTATTATGAATAGGAAGAACTACGTCAATATGCCTATTATAAGGTTCTTGTACGCGTTTGCTATGAATCGGTAAGTCTATTTTGTATTTACTATCATGATAAGCCTATTTTCGTCCATATAAGTGGACCTTTCAACACATCATTGAGTAAATTTTTCAGGTCATCGCATCGCATCCAACCATTTTTTTATACAAACGTATTTTAACCTTATTAAAATATGGTCTATTAAAGACAACCTGTTCATCAAAAACAATTGTTATTATAATGCATATCATTCTAATGAAGTAGAAAAAAACAAATGCCGTTGTAAATAGCCAATAGACAATAGAAAGATACTGTTTTCTTCAATAAAATATGTATAATATGTGTTTTTCTAGATGGCCAAAATATAACTTTTGCCCCGTAGTCTAAGTATGTCTAAACTAAAATGGCGTACTTTTTAAATAAGGAACAGAAAGTAAACAATAAAGTTATGTTTTTACGTTATAATATTGAATGTTGTAATAACAATTTCAATTCAATGATAGCTGTGTTAGTTTTCAAATAACTTATAATAGTTTCTTATGGTCCTATTTATAAACTATTACTTCGAAATACTTCTATGTTATTTACATTGAAAATTATAAAATACTAGGTATTATTATCACCAGGCGGACCAAACGCCATCCTATTAAATACTCAACAAAATGGTATTGGTTGCGGTTTCGTTTTAATTTTATGCCCTATTCTATTCATGATGTTATTTTATTATGTTGTATGCTTCGTCAATAAAATTTTGTCCTATAAAGCCCCGTAACCACTTTGTCCTTGGTACCGCTCATGTGGAACCAATACAAAGCTATAAAAGTAACAAAAAATGAATACAGTACAAAACAAAAAATCAACTACAAGTATATTTTGGAGTATTCCTACTTGATTCGTTGAACTTACATCTATTAAGGAACTTAAATTTAAAATGTACATATTAATGTCACGTAGTAAAATTAAATAGGTAGATTTTACATGTACAAAAGGAATGTTTACCAAAAAAACAACTAAATATAAAACGTGTTAACATTTAGTAGTAAATGACTTTCCCCTCTCTCCCTTGTAAAATAAAAATATGTACAACTATTGAATCATACCTATGCTCTTAAAAGTTACCTACAAATTGTACCAAACTTACCATGTACGATATATGTGATAAAATCGCTGGATACTTACTCGCCTGGTGGTAAGCGATAATGCAACTTATGATGAAACCCATAAGCAATCTATTTACTTTGACCTAGAAGGCTAGCACCCAGGTGGGATATCCTTGGGAAAACACAGAATTTGGAAAATAATTCTACTCTTTAGCTTAAGAAAACTTGAGACAAAGTACCTCATGCTTGTAGGTGGTATAATATCATGAAGCAGAATAAAATAATATAATAAAAAAAAAAAACGTTTATTTACAAAACAGGTTTTTGTGCTTACAATATTGTGATTGAAACCTCCTTTTAAGCAACATTGTGCTACTTGAAATCTCGTCATTAAGAAACTTCTCCTTTGTCTCTTTTCAGGCGGAATAAAGAGGGTGACCGGGAGAATGCTCTTCGAGTATGTGTAAAAGCTTTGGAAAAGAAAGAGAACAGGTTTCCAGACATGTTGTGTCTATGTGGACGTATATACAAGGACAAATTCGTTGAATCTCAGCACACTGACAAAGAAAGTTTAGGGAATGCAATACATTGGTAAGTTTGACTTTGTATTATATCCTAAGAAGAAGAAGGACCATTATTGGGACAAAACAGCCAACTCAATGATTGCACCATCATTGAGGAACTTACTTCCTTGGAAACGATTAACCAGTTTCGTACATAGCCCGCATCGCATTTCTGTTTTCTCTGGCGTCCTAAGAGCGGCAGGCAGGTAGTATCTTTGTTACTACTAATAGTAGTATAAAAATACGCATATGATATAATTGATATAATAAGTTAATCAATCTTTTTTTATATTCTAGGTACAGACAGGGTTTCGAAGTGCAGCCAAATGAGTATGCAGGCATCAATTTGGCCACACTTCTAGTTATAGCTGGCAATGACTTTAAAACTTCAGAGGAATTGCAACACATAGGTAAGTGATGTTCAATAAACAATTTGATACCAAAAACTTCTTTAATGGCTTCCGTACATATCTAAGTATATACAAAATAAAGTTATGGAAAACTGGCCGTTGCGTCGTGTAAGGTTACTATAGCCAAATCCTCCTATCTCATCATCTCTGACCAATCTCTAAATCGCCAACACCCCTTAAAAATGCCAGCATGTACTTGCAAATATTCTGGTGTTGTGGGTGTTCATGGACCGACCGTAGCAACTCAGTTGGGATCTATCACATAAATAAAGTCAGTCACTTGGTAAGCTAGAATTGGGTAGTTTCCTAGGTCAATAAATTATTTAGATGTTTCAATTCAATGAAATATTGAAAAATAACTATACTTTTATTCATCGATCGATCGATACACCAAGTTTTAGATTTTTTTAGCTAATTATTGTGAAATAAGTAAGCTATTTGACGCAAAAATGTTATGACGTCATAGCTCAGTTTTTCATATAAATTTCAAAGAAAAGTATCTTTTTTGACGTTTGGATAAAAGTATTGAATTTAACTAGTTGGAAACTACCGTATGAGCTAAATGCGTTTGTTCGAATATTAAAAGAGCAAGAAAATGCATATTAACTTTTTGCCCATATCCCGTTTCCGAAGCTAATGCCATCCATCCTCACAATTTATTTTAGAGGTGTGATATTTCTGGCCGAGCCCATTATCAGACTTTCGACCTCTACTCAATCTATTTATTAATCTCCATTCTAGCCATACCTCGAATGCCAATGTTTTCACGGTCATCGGTCAACTGCCTATTACTCACAAATTCTTTTCATTCAGTTCTGGCTTAAAGCCAGATAGACAAAATGTCTAATGGATTATTAATTTTATGTGCCCATAAATCATGGAGTACTTGAATTATACGTAAATTGTACGTAATTATGTTATTACGTTTTCTTTTATCTTATTTGCTTTGAGTTAAATACCGAAGGAGTTTGTCATGTGGGTAACATTAATATGAATTAGGACAAGAAATAGATAACCTCAATTCGGTACTATATCCAATACATAGTAGCGGATTGAGGTTTTGAGATATTGAGGTATTCGAATTTGATACTGGTATTTGTCTTTAACAAATACTAGGTATACCTGTGGATACTAATATTCTGTAGTAATTAAGAACGCATATCATCTTGCTCCATATTTTTCGTCTAGGCAAAATATCAATATTACTTCTCCCTAATAATCGTTGTGTGCAGTAATAAACTTTGCCCACCGCTCGTCTCGTCGTCCAAGATGTGTAGTTATTATATAAAATGATATAAAGTTATCTATTTTTTATTCCAGGTATGGTACTAAACCATTTAATAGGTAAGAAAGGCAGTCTATCATCACTAAAAGAATATTGGGACGTGGCCACGTTCTTCGAAATATCAGTACTGGCACAAGACTACGTGAAAGCGATACAGGCAGCAGAATGTATGTTCAAACTCAAACCACCGAATTGGTACCTCAAATCCACTATTGGAAATATTGAATTAATTGATAGGTAAGATTTTGTCTTTTAATGCCTTTCTTTCATATTTACCAAAGACACTGTTATCTATAACCAGCTATAAAAACTGCATGATTGATGCGGCGGTTGGGCAACGTGGGTCGATTCCCCAACCGAACAACTCTTTGTGACATTCCCAATTATTGTTGTACTGGGTCTGAGTGTGATGTGCATATACACGATACAAGAGAAAAACCTAGTGTGATGGAGCAGTTTGGTGCAACGTTAAAGCATAAGTTTCATATTTTTGAGCACATCATCATCATCATCATCAGCCTATAAGTGCCCACTGCTGAGCAAAGGCCTCTTCTCATACGGAGAAGGTTAGAGCATTAATCTCCACGCTTGCTCAATGCGGGTTGGCGATTTCAAACTTATAATTAGAAATTATAAGTCCAGGTTTCCTCACGATGTTTACCTTCACCGTATGTCAGTGGTGTCTAAATAATTATAGAAAGTACACATAACTCGGAAAAAGTCACATTGGTACTTGCCAGGTTTCGAACCCACACGCTCATGCATGAGAAGCGGGCTCCTTAACCTCCGGGCCCCCATAACATTTTTGAGCACATCGTTGTTTTTTTGATAATACTAATAATTTTAACTATGGTAATATTCGAGCTAATTTTCGATGAGTTATTGAATGTACATTTGTATTTCAGGTTTAGGAAAAGTGAAGAAATATCACCAGAACAGCAAGTATTCTCGTTTTGGATGGAATACTTCGTAGAGGCAACTAAAAGCGAATGTGAAAATATTATCAGGTTTCCTGTAAGTCTCGTAATATTTTTTTTAAATATGGGAAAAATCAATGTAATACAATATTACGAACTATTTTTGTTTTGTACTATTTTGTACAAAACTTTTATTTTGACATGTTCGGCGGCCTTCTGATAGTCTCTTTGCAAAGATGCAATTTTTATTACCGGTTATTGTAGAATAGGATAAGGTATTTCTTTCTTCTTTTTTTCTATAAACCCGCACGGATAAATTCTTTGTATGATCCATTCGTTGAATATTTTTCAACACACCTTTGATAAAGGATAAAATGGCAGTGTGTAATAATGGTTTTTAAATTAAGTACTTAAATATTATAAAGATAAACAAACCTATGTATGTAAAACTAAGTTTTCTGTATTTCCAGGTGTTAATATTGGAAACAACAAAAGTATACATGCCGTCATATGTAAACGTAAACATGGGCGCGGAACAGAAGTCTGTGGAGATCCTCAACCTGTGTCTGGACTCTATGCGCGGTGAATGTCGACAGGTCCATCGATGGCTGTTCACATCTGACATGATTAGGAGTTACAGGTAATTTTCTATACAGCTTTGTTTTGTTTATATGGCTACGTGGTCTCCAAGAAAGAAATCTTGTTTACATGTAAGTTAGTAAATTTAAAAAGTAAGTTTACATGAATGTTTACTGAATGCTAAACTAATTATCGCAGTGAAAGGCCAAAACTACTTAAAATTTTGTAGCTTGACGTATATATTATAGTATAATATTTTCTTTTTGAGCTGGGATATATCGACTGCGTTTTTGGGCGACAAGCTGGGGGAATCTTCCCGACTTACCCGACCTCAAAGAGATGTGAGGAAGTGTGGTACTCTTGTTGACTACACAGCCCCATTCTAAGTTGGATCGCGGTACGTCATTGCGCTTTACCCGCAACCCCACAACTAGTGATGTCATAGCTTAAGAGAGTTTGCCATAATCCCTACGTTTGGCAAACGACTTGGGGCCAAAAACTACTTAAATTAAGCTGTTGTCTGTCTTATATAAATATTTCCATCAAACTTTAATATCTTACATATGTTTCCAGTTTATACAAACGCGACGAGCGGTGTTTGTTCCTGTACGTAAGCGAGAATTCTGACGATTTCCAAATCTTCTTACCGTCACAAGCTTGTCGGCAGCGGTTACATGACCTACTGGGAGAATTGACTGCCGATCATGAAAAGGTCACGGATTTGGACACCAGTGTCATGCAGGATCAGTTGAAGGTAAAATATTCCTTGCTCATTTCTATCAATTATTAAGTCATAAGTTATTTATTTCATTGCAATATAAAAACAAAAATCTTTAAGGATAACCTGATGGTAAGCAATCGGCACCGCCCATGGACACCCGCAATACTAAAAGAGTGACGAATGCGTTGCTGGCCCTTTTGGGATAAGGTTTTTATTCTAGACCTCCGTTATCCTCACTCATGCCAAACACAACATTGTGGATATGTTTGACACCGGTTTTCTGTATGGCCGTGGTATTACTCCGGTCGAGCCAACTCATTCGTGCCGAAGCTTGGCACTCCCACACCTAAACTATACGTATCACAAACTAGCTACGCTCGCGATTTCACCCGCTGCTCGGCTCCATTTAATCTTAGCATGATATTTTATAGCCTATAGCACTCATGAACATTGTAGGTATATATCAGTGAAAGAATTTTGGAAATCCGACCAGCGGTACCAAATATTACCCCCTACATACAAAATTATAAATTTTATCTCTTTATAATATTAGTAAAGATAAATTTTCTCTCCTCGACAGTTCGAATACGAGCTAGACGACAACAACCGTCGCGTAGTACTAGGTAAGGGAACGTACGGCGTAGTGTACGCGGCGCGAGACCTCAACACGCAAGTCCGTATCGCCGTCAAGGAGATACCTGAACGAAACCTCGGAGACGTACAGCCATTGCACGAGGAGATTCTACTACATTCACAGCTTAGACACCGGAATATTGTACAGGTATGAATAATAATAATATGTACTTTTTCATAGTTAAGAATGTGGTTTGATTGGTCCCGTAAGAAAAAACCTTCTTTATTAAAAACTCTTTTTCCATGAACTCCTTTGCCTCGCCTAGAGATGGCAGTGTAAAAGGATCACGTTTATCAGAGTGGTCTATTATCAATTTTATAGATCCTTATTCGAAACGTACGACTTCCACATAAAGAACATGAGTGGAACATTTATTTTCTATATGGGTTATATGTTTAAGTTTTGTTCAATAACCTATTTCACTAAAAAAATCAACGACTAATAACGAACCCTTCCTTTTCTAGTTATAAATTTAAGGTCTCTTTCATTAATATTTTTTACATCTATTTCAGTACTTAGGTTCAATATCAGAAGACAATTACTTCAAAATATTCATGGAGCAAGTGCCTGGAGGTTCACTCTCGGCTCTGCTAAGGTCCAAGTGGGGCCCACTTAAAGAAAACGAAGCCACAATAGCTTATTATACGAAACAAATTTTGGAAGGTGAATAAACCATTTATATTTTGGTCTAGTTTCTCTGTATCTGTCTGCATAGTATAGTTTAAATATTCCTGTTTGCCATACTTAAATCAGTAGCTCAAACTTTAAAACATAATAAATCTTTGACTATGGCTTACATCCACTTACTTACTCAAATTTCCCTTTTTTATGTTATTAGTATACAGGGTGTATAAACTCAATCAAAATTGTTAAAGCTAAAATATTTCAAATAGCCTACCCTGTACCCCCTTTCAGTTCAATCCATATTTCCAGGGTACTCCAGACTTGTTATCTAAACAAACATCATACAATTTTCAGGCCTAAAATACCTTCACGACCAGAAAATAGTACATCGAGACATCAAAGGTGATAATGTACTAGTAAACACTTATAGTGGAGTCGTGAAGATATCTGACTTCGGTACTTCGAAGCGACTGGCCGGGTTATGTCCTTCGACGGAAACATTCGCTGGAACACTACAGTACATGGCGCCTGAAGTTATTGATAAAGGACAGAGAGGCTATGGAGCGCCGGTTTGTATTCTTTATAAATAATTTTTGATTGTAGCTTCGCCCGCGTGTCGTAGGGGAAAGTATAGCCTGTTTCCTCCACTCCAGTCTATTTTCGTCAACTTCTAGACATATCATCATCATCAGCCTATAAGTGCCCACTGCTGAGCAAAGGCCTCTTCTCACATAGAGAATGTTTGAGCATCAATCACCACGCAGGCTCAAGGTGGTTTGGCGATATCAAACTATCAAGTCCAGGTTTTCCCGCGTTGTTTTCCTGCACCGTATATCACTGGTCTCTAAATAATCATGGGTAAAGTCACATTGGTACTTGCCAGTATTCGAGGCATGAGAAGCAGCCTTATCCACCGCGCCACGACAACTGGATATAAATATGCGTCTTCATGAACACGTTATGAAGCTCAATGTACAGTCCTTTCATCCAACCAACTACTAGTAATTTTGCGGATATCGAGACTTTGTCTAGGTCACATGGAGGCAATAGAAAATGAAACTTAATAACATGAATACTTGGATTTATTATACATTATATTCTTTCAGGCCGACATATGGTCCTTGGGTTGCACAGTTGTTGAAATGGCAACAGGAAATCCTCCCTTCATCGAATTAGGATCTCCTCAGGCAGCTGTATTCAAGGTGAGTGAATGAAACTTTGTTTACTTGCCATAAAACAGATTACACCATGTATACAATAGTCAGGCCCAAGTTACTGTTTTGAAGAAGTCTCTTATATTGAGACGAAAGAGACATTAACACTATTGCTTGAGACAGTATCTAAGTATGTAGAATATACATAAATCCCTACTTCAAATTCAGTAGTTTCACTTATCTAGCAAACTATTTTACTTACAATTTGTTATCATCAGGTCGGATACTACAAAATGCATCCAGAGATCCCCAACGAGTTATCGGCGAAAGCCAAGAACTTTATTCTACGCTGCTTCATACCAGAGCCAGAGAAACGGGCGACAGCAGCCGAACTATTAGAGGACCCCTTCCTTTGCGAGTAAGTACTTCATATTATTAACGAAAACTTAGGTTTTAAGAATAAGTTCTACCATACAAGTAAAATCATTCGTGTCTGTTAAACATCAACAATTTCTATCTTTGATCTCTAATCAGAAAAGCCGAGGATACGAGGTCAAAATGTATAATTGTAACAGTATAATAAAAGGACTTGATTCTATTCTAATTTCAAAATTATTTATAATTACGACGGTAGATCCGTTTGGATTCGAACTTTGGCGCCAAAGTACATAAGTGGTGCTCTTCTCAGTAAAAGAGACTAATTGACGTTTGGCATTGGATATAATTAGCGATTCTATTTATTGTTATAATAAAGGTGCCAGATAATATTCTATTAAAAATAAAATAAGATGCAATGTGAATTGAAAGTAAGAGACAATTACAAAAACTTGTATTTAAATAGATACTTGTAAATATTTTTTATTTGATAAAATAAATGGTGTTGTAAATAAAAAGGACGTTTGTTTGCAAGCGTCAGGCGATTCGTGCGTTCAGCTCAATCGTCGCCGATCAAGTGAGTAACGAAGGCGACTCTTGCGCATATTTTATACTCGTTGTTTGATTGATTCTCTTTAGTTTTGTGAGCTGTCGATTGTATTTAATTTGCCAGTATGTAATATTAATTATTAAGCTAGTATTAAGGTGTTATATCTTCACATTATTTAGAATTTTAAAGTTTACTATTTAGTTAGTCCTTATCCTCCATATTTAAATTTTGTATCTGCCGTACTCAGAAACATTTGATGATTACTAAAACTGACTGCACGATTGTCGCGGTCACTGGGCAGTCAGCTGCCGTGCAACGTGTTGCGGGTTGATTTCCGCACGGAACAACCATGTGTGTGATCTACAAATCGTAATGTGTAAATGCACCCACGACGTAGGAGATTATCCTATGTATATGTATGTAGGGCACAATTTAACAACAGAAGTATAGAAGAAGCGCATGTATTCGTTAGTAACCTTTTTTTGGAAAAAGTTCCTAATGTTGTTGAAATAATTGTTAAATGGCTCTGAGTACGGTTCTAAGTTGATTCTTATTAATTCACTGTCGCTTGTTATCAGAAAAGATTTCTTGCGAATCGACAGCAAATAAAGCGTGTATTAAAAATCCCTTAATTGATAATTACAGGAAGAAGAAACCGACAAGTCGTCTTGGTAGTAACATGGATTACAGCAGAAGTATATCGGTTCCCGCTGACAAGGCTCGTCCGGTTACAGCTCAAAAGAAGATCTCAGAACCTAGTATAGCTAGCAATTTACCAAGCTCTCCAGAAATCGAGTACGTATAAATACAATTTTAATTAGCATATTCGATTTGCTTTAGAGTTTGCAACGCATGGTAATTAAATGCCCTAGAGTTTTTTTTTTAATAAAATGTAATCTAAATAATGTGTTTCTTGCTGCTGGTTGAATGGAGGTGTTTTCAGTAATAGATTCGTTTTTTTTTTCTTGTCTTAATTAGGATTTAGGTTTTTTTAATAATAGCTGACCCGGCCTTCGTTTCGTCTCGATATTATTTAAAGTTTTCTGACCTTTTGAACCTCCTCTGGACTTCCACGAATATTTCAAGATCAAAATGAGCCTAAACAGCATTTAATTTTTATATATAACCTTGAAGAAAGATTAGAACAATTTTATATATTAATATTCGAACTTGTTGCATGGCAATGTGCCTTTAACCATGTGCAGTAGAAAGCAATTCAAAGGGTCTACCGAAAAAAGACCGTATAATATAAAGTCCAAAATATCGATAGTCTAGTTACAATACGTCTAACATTTGAAAACCCCAAACCCAACAGCAAGAAACATAAGAAGCATGATTCTAGAAATTAAAATTTTCTGATTTCAAAGCGTTCCATACATGTTCTTCGTTGTGTGATGTTCTCATATCATCATACGTAATATGGTGAATGGGAGCTTATGTTATGGGCGTGGACATATATAAATAATATATGTTAAATGTTGTATTGAGTTTTACGTTTTATGAAATGTATTGGCATACATAAACTCATTCACACTCCACGACATATTACATTTGTGTTGTGATGCGGCATTTTTATATCAAAGCGTGGGATGTTTTAATTGATTTTAAACAGTTAATAATATTGTGGAAAATAGTAGAATAGACACTAACACAAGGTTTAATTAATAATAATAATTTGGTTTGAGTTATTACTCTTAAAAGTTGCTATAAGTGTACTTGTTGACAAACTAATTTACAAAATCCCGCATCACAACTCACAAGACTTTCAAATCGACATAAAAGTGTAATGCACTTACACTTTTATAAACAGACACAAAGAAAATGTAAAGGAAAACATGATCTATATTAAATTTAACACAAATGACCACATTTTTGACGTGTCAATAACACATGTCGTAACATTGTCGATTGCTTGGCACCTAAGCGTGTATTTTTTCATTTGTTCCCAATACAAGGGTGAAAACGATCCGGTCTAATCCTATCACTAGGACTGCCTCGTCGATGCTCTCACCAATACTGATATACCCACCGGACTTGTCCAATTGCAGGTAACATTCACTATTTTATAAATGCACCAAATTTGATGTTCAAAATTCATAGAATACTGTATTTTTTACGGACAAAATTTTGAAATTTTTTCATTCAAGTCATTAACTTCTTACTTTACTATATCCTTCTTGAGTTTTATAGAGTAATATTTATGTAAATGTATGTGCACGAAATTTTAATCTATATATATTGCATAAAAATGCATAAAAGCATGTAAAATAAGGTTAAAAGATAATCTTAAGGCTTAGATGAAGTATATTTTAAGTTACCGGTTTACTTTCGAGAGTAAAATATTGCATTCTATGAACTACATCTATAGACGCTGTTAATTACGAACAAATAGCGCACACGCTTCTTTAGTATTCATTAATTTTTATATCTCAAGATGCTTCAAGAAAAAAAATACTTGATTAAAGTATAAATGCTTCACAAAAAGTTGCGCATCGATGCGCAAAATTGCGCAAAGGAGACGGATACGCTTTCATACAATTTTGGGCCTAGATGTAAAAAGATGAAACTGGTGTCATTTGATAGCTACTATATTAACAAACAATTACTGAAAATTTCGCAGATATTGGCAATCTGGGAGCCGAGATATAAAAGATTTAAGAAAAGTGAGGTTAAGTAACAATCTATATATATTAGCCAATTTTTGAAGTGCGATAGTGATTTTTACCCGATTGCCGGAGGCGGGTAATGGTTTTAATAGTATACGTGTATATATTTGTATGTATTTATGTTTGTATATAAACAAATATCAAATATAAACCAGATGCATCCTTCGACTGCACAGCATAGCTTACTTCTTGTTTACCTACTTTCTTGTCTTTTTAGTTTACTTAGCAGGCAAGGCTTATGCAGTAAGGCTCGCCAAGGAGGAGGTCAGGCTCCTCCTTTCGCCTCCTCCTTTGGCCATTTTCGAATCATCATTTCGTCATCCAAAGCTCGACGTCCTTGTGTATTACAGCGACTAGTCGCTATGCCACAATTTACACAACGATCCATAATGTCGATCAATATCCTATCGGTAGGCTGTTCATCGAATCCAAAATATGCAAGTCCAAGTTCAACGTTTAAGCGAAGTTCTCCGTGTCCGGTATGGTAATGGTTGCAAGGCAAGGGTCGTAGAAGGAGGAAAATCAAAGGTCCGTGGGAAAGCCGGGCCGAGGAAAATACCAATAAGAAAAATGGGAGGAAAATAAAAACACTCAGAACGCTCACGCATAGACGATACGAAACGAGTGTCGATCGGTGTCATGTCATACATGACAGAGCTAGCACAGATTAAAAATACAATAATCGATTAGTAAAAACGAATCGATAAAATATTTTTAATTATGTTGATATTTAAACTCTAAACTCAGTTTAATTATTTTAATTATATAAATCATTCAGTGACATCATTTTCGTAAATAGTATGAACTCTGTTCGTTACAGAGTTATTAATTACAATTGAATCGATAATCCGATTACTTCGTAACCCTAACTAAATTGTTGGATTTTTCATTTCCCAGATTGTAAAATAAATTGATTTTTCACTATGTAAAATAGAAAAAAATAACCATTTTTTTAAGCCCTACTTCAACTTATTACGTGAGGGCCCAGAAGTCCCCGTCTCCTTTATTTTCTTGAAAGTAACTTGAAATCAAACTATGTTTAAGATAACCCTGCTTTGTAAATGTTTTCAAATGATTTATGTGAGGGATATATTATAAAATTTACTTGGCACAGTGACAAAGCAGGATAAACTGTATCAACCAGTGGTTTTTGTTCCTAAATCAATCTAATCCAACTCAGACTTCGTGTATATGCTCAATATCATTGATTACTAACGCTTACTGTAATAGAAATTAACAACAATTATTATATCTCATTTATATACAAATTGAATTGTGGTATGTGTAGTTTCAGATCAAATGTTATATAACATATTAACCACGTACAGGTTATTTTTTGTGTTTCTAGGCGTATTTTTTGCGCGTATAAGCTTGTATCCTTAGACTATTAAATTACCTAAACATTTACCTAATTAACGGTATACAATTATTAATAAACAAAAATTTCAATGCTTTTGAAGTAACACGAGTGGCGACAAGCTTATAAGCGTGATTTTACAAGAGCTCTGAAAATTGCCATTACAAAGACATCCTTACTACTATTGTTTTAAGGGCTTGTCGAATTGTAGATAAGTAGTTCTAATGGTTTTCGTATTGGTTTTATGATATCTTAGTAATTGAATGGATAATATTTTAGTACAATGCCCAACACACCATCGACTGACGAAATGGACGGAAGCGATACTTTACTGAATCGCAGGAGTTCATCGGGAGGGCTCTTGTCACCTGAGGTAAGTGTTATTTATTGTATTTACAATTAATATTACAGTGTGCATTATAGGGTTTATAGCCGCAACCGATTACTAAGCAAAAGCTTTTAAGATCGATTCCAAAAAGTTCCGGAAGATTGGCCATTTTTGAGTTTAATAAGATCTTATTATTCATGCAGATCGTTTAGCATGGACCCGGTTACATAGATTAATAAATATAAATACTTAGCGAAAAATGAGTGCCACATTATTTAATTGTACCTGAATGACCTAGTTTGACTTATTTCTAATAGTAAAAGTGACCTATGTAGATTTTTCGTATTCAAAACCCTTTACGTACAAAATTTAATCGTTATTGTTGTAGTCGTTTTCAAGATTTGGTCAGTAATATATACATTTAATTTTTATAAATACAAAAAAATACTCGTTTAAGGCAAGAAGAAATCCGGTATGTAAGAATAAGTCACGATAAATTTATGATCTAACCTCATACACAACCTGGCCATGGTTAAACAACTTCTTACTTCCAGGTGGACATGCCAAACGTGCCCCGTTGTTCAATAGACGGACCGGAGCATGACGGTTTCTACTTACTAAAGAAGGACTCACAGCGGAGACTGACTCTCTCCCGCGTGTTAGAGCAGGACAGCGAGAAAATATGCTCAAAATGGATGCTCAGTATACACCAGGACTTTGGAACTACTGTGCTGACTATGGTAATATCATAATTTGTAAATTATTTTGATCAAACCGACTTTCTTTGACGTGCTGATTCGGCTAGTTTCAAGTCATGTAATAGGATTAAGCGACACGCATTGTAACGCAGACCAGTGTATAAAATATCAAAATGAAACGTTATTAGTTTAGAAATTAGTTACGGAAAACGGAAAGAAAGTAGGAATACAAATACAAAAGCAACCTAATGGTTAATACCTTTTAGCTAGAAAGTATTAAAATCCTTACATACTCATATTTTCTATTATATTTTATAACATTCATACGTGTTTTGTTAGAAGTTTAAAGTTTTGCCTGTTTCGATCTAGCCTTTTTCGAAGATCACTATTGAGAGTCGGTATTTGTTCGTGTGAATTTTGTATTGTTATACGGAAAACAAACCACGTTCAAAGAAAACTTTTACTTTCTACTTAACTGAAAACTACTGACGAATAGAAGCAATTTTTATAGTTTCTAATTATATATTTTTTTACAGAATCACTTGGAAATGTTACGCTGCGCCCTTAAAGAGTATATAATGGATCAGAACAGAAGTGTCATAGAGCAGGCTATAATAACTTTGAAAGAAGAACTGGATTTTGACTCGAATGCCATTAACGAATTACATTCAGCCATCTATATGTTCCAAGAGGCAGTGAATGCAGTGTTAAGAATGCATAGCATAAAACCTCATTGGATGTTTGCTTTGGACAATTTAGTGAGGAATGCTGTCCAAGCTGCCATCACTGTTTTGTCGCCAGGTGAGTGATGAAGTTTGTAATTTAACTAGTTTTTACACATTACGCAAATTCTCAAAAGAGTTTTGGAAAATCTATATGTATTGTTGCCTCTCTTTAAACAATTTCCGTGCACTTTGTAAATTTTGATTTTCTAGTGTGAATCGTCTATTAGTCTCTCAAACGTCCAATTTTATGATGAGTTCTGTCCATAATATTTATAGTCCCTTTTTTACCTTATGTGAATTAAAAACATAAACCTCACGGTAAAAAATGCGCGTATCTGCGGACATTGAGTAAGGGTAGCTCGCCGCCCGGGGGAAGGGGGGCAAGTTTAGTCAGTAAGAGTGACACTCTCTCTCGCCTTTCCCTAGGCAGGTGAAGTCATTTGATGATTTTCCGCTGACAGAAAAAAAAACGATAAAGAACTGTAGGTTTTGGGCATGACAATCATTTATTTACTAATAAGTTTTACATTTATCTTTCAGAGCTAGGCGCCAACCTGGCCGGGCAGGAGGGTCGGCGCGGCGGGGTGGCGGCGGCGGACACGTCCCCGTCCGCGCTGTCCTCCACCAACTCCGCCCGGGATACACACGCACTGCACGCCTTGAGACACGAGAACCACAAGTTTGTATTCTTATTATTCGTATTATTATTATTTTTTAATCAAATATCAGATCTTAATCAAAAATCTCCATAGGTTTTATGTAGAAAATATGAACGCGACCGGTTCGTCGAGTAATTTTGTATTACACTAAAATACACTAAAATCAATCCCAAGACATTTTTAATCTGTGACATGAGTTGTATATTAAGATGTCCTACGCGCACTTACCAAGTGTAGGGTAGCAAAACTTATGTAGTGAAGCTTATCGTCCAGCAAAGATCGACTTCGAGTGTTTAATTTTCAAAAGTAATTAAATATCTTGTTTAAAATTTGCACTCAACGCCTTGCGATTGTATTGTATGAATTGTTGTAGTAAACTGTTTGATTTACGTTGCAGATTACTTCAGGAGCTTATAGAAAGTTACCAACTCAACCAGACCCTTCTCCGGCAAGTTCTAGAAGAGCAAAAAACACAAACAATGATATTCAAAGAATTCGTTGAAAAGAAATCTCGGTAAGTTCTTACTTATAAAACCCGTTACGTTTATTTCCTATGTTGAGAGACACACAACATAGTATACTTAATTTTAAAAAATGTCACCACCATTCTACAGTTTCTTTTTCTCCGTAAAATGCCAAATATTTATAATCATACAAATTTTTACTCACATAATAATATATCACTCTTAAACCCATACCACAACTGTCGTGTGAAGTTAATCATGCAGTACCTAGTGGTAAGAAATCAGCAGCTTTGCCCGGGCACACCCGCAACACCAAAGTAGTTACAAATTGTCAGTCTTTAAGAGGGATCTGATCTCGGGTAATCTCATTATCTCGTCAAAACATAACCCTCTTGTTGTTGTTGAAATTTGTACCGAAGCTTTTGTTTATCTTCCACGTGTTAATTCAAATTCTAAATTCCTTTTGCAGTAGTTGTACTCCAGAAGTGTTCGTGAGCCAGAGTGACTCCGCAGTAGACACTGGCGATGGCAGTGACAGTGTGGACGAGGGCGAAGCCCTAAAGCTGCGTGAGTGGGTCGCGGCCCGAGGCCTGCCCTCAGTAGTCACCAACGCACTGCTCAGCCATTGCTACGTTTTAACAGATCTACTGCAACATGCCCAAAGAGAAGACATTGCAAAACTTAATCTCAAGTACGTATTTTTTTATTTATCAACTAGTCAATTAATTGGTGATTAACTCCTAGTAACATAATTTGTCAGTCAATATGCTAATATTGTCAATATACAAATACAATTCCCCACTTAAGTCAATATACATAATGCTTAATAATATGTGTTACGCGGTGCCCTGCTAATTTTGAACTAAGGCGTAAAAATACTAATTATAAGCTTCTCAGCTTGTCGCGGTAGTTCATAATCTAAAACAAAGTCAAACAAATTTCTAGCATAACAATTGCACCAAGTATTTCTTAAATTACACCAAGCAAAAAAGAAACTACTTTTTAAAAAGAAATAGAATATATATTTGTCTTATATCAACTGTCTTAAAACACACTAAGCTGACCACATATTATTCAACAGAGGTGGAATCGAGCTGCGATTATGGCGGGCAATCCAAGAACATAGATTACACAGCAGTCCAGCACATTTACGTCGAAGTAGCAGTACGGAGACAGATGGAGACGCTCCACTACTACTCCTAGACCCTACGAGGACCAGGGCTCGTCGCGCGCCCTCTACCGCCTCAGCCTGTTCAAACAACCCCACCATCGTTATCCGCGACCAAGTCAACGGAGACGATTCCGTCGCCCCCTACTACGGTGACGCGGGTCTCAACCTTTGACTACTGCGCGGATGGTGCACTCTACAATAAGGGACTCTTCAACGGCCAGTGTTACACAACCTTCCAGAATCTTCGGTAGTAATTTTCAATTTTTCAAAATGTGCGCGTATTATCCTTACCAGCGACAAAGCCGCTTCTTGATTGGTAATATTATCAGAATGACAATAAATATCTCCTATAATACGGTTTTGCGACCGTGCTTGAACTTATATATTGTATGTCCAAGCAAACAGTTACGAGTATGTTTTGATTATAACACTGATACGAGTGATAGTCATTCCTATTCGTCCAGTAGCCGCCCAATGGTAACTTGCCTAAAACATTGTTACTAGCTGTACGCAATCGTACGTTTCGCGATGATATTATAAAGGCTTCATAAAATTTAGCTTCCATTTATAATGATTCCTTAGTAATTTATTGTCAATGGTGGTAATAATATCGCTTAATATCCGTTGCATATTAGAATGCTCAATACTAAAAACGTTACTAAACTGGTCGTTATTGGTTGTATTGATAAAGTGATAAGCAATTTTGTGACAATATCATACCGTTAATATTTGAGTGATTACTTATTTAATTGTGTTCGTTTATAGTGTAAGAAATGAGTGAAAGTACGTCACAAATTTTGGAATAAATGGTCATAACTCGCTGTAACAAATAACAAGAAGTAGTTGAATTTTATAATAACATCGTTCAGTTTTGAATAAAGTAGTACCTAGTTTGTTGATTCAATGTTGAATGACTTAGCTATTCGTTCGATTAATGTTGAATAACACATTGCGTAACTAAAATTGCTGTTGCTTTTAAAACAATAACACCGCTTGAGGCCGAGAGTGTATCATCCGAATAACTGTCATGTAAATATAGTTTTGTATTTATTATAATTAAAGGGCAGAAGGATATCGTTCAACGTTTTAGCCTGGACGTTAATTAATTCATAAGTTAAAGACGACTGTTCGATTTGACTTGTTAAGCCAAAATCGTTCTTAAGGTCAATTTAATAAAGTTTATTAACGATATCCTTCGCCCTACATATAACTAGTCCCTGTAAATACTATAGGAATGTTTGTAAGCATAATATTAAGTTACGCTGTAAACAAAGCAATGTTCGTAGTTCACAAATATTTTGTATGGTGCTAACGCGTTGTGATGGTAATTAATGTAGTAAAAAGTGCCTTTTTACGCTTGCGCTCTAACCAACTTATACGTACATATTATAAATATGTCTCTTAATACACAAATAACTCGACGATAAAAATTTATTGAAGAAAATCTTCTTTTCTTCCACCCTGTATAGTCGTGTCGTACATGATGACTGTTGATTAGGGCAAATTTTGATCTTGAAGTAATATTATAGGTATGCGTCATTTGTTTCTCAATTAGTGTTTTTATACACTCCGGTGTCTTGCCCAACAGTTAGTGTAAAAGGAGCAAATCGGTTTGTGTAAAAACTTACAATACCGCCAACGTATCTTGGCGAGTCTGAAGTTAGCCGATTAGCTGCGCAGGTACACAATTTTGTTATTAAAAGATCCATTGCGCAGACAACAGCTAATTTCAGACTCGCCAAGATACGTCGGCCGTACTGTATGTATACATAGTTATTCAAGTGGCAACCGGTCGGATTCTCGCCACTGGCTATCGTAGCGTATGAAAAGTGCTCACCTATGCCGAATATTTCAAAGAAACACAAAATTCCAAAGTTCAGCCCCGCTTTTCGGTGTATTCTTAATTCCTGGTAACATACGTGTAATAAAACAACTATATAAAATATCAAAACCAATTAACAACTGTATAAATATCAGAACTACTCGTTAATACGCCGCTAACGCGATTATTATTGGCTCACTCTGAAGCACTTATAAAGCATTTTCTGCAATTGCAAGTTCATAATAACAACTGTATGTTTATACAATATTAGATTCAAAATACCGTAACAAGAATCAGCGGTTCGACCACTTAAGAATATTTTTTATATGACTAATAAAACTAGGACATACTTTTTGATTGAAAGGAAATTGCAAATGGCTGCTATGTACATAGGCATGCCTGATTTTTTACAGTTTATTTTTATAAGAGTCACCGTCATTTGCTCACCAATGGGCACTAATGTAGGCAGAGATCTAGCTTGTCCCATAAAGAACATTTTAGTGTCAAAACAAATAGGACCTTACGCTACATTACTGCCATCTGGTGGACTCAAAATGCTAATTCTCATTGCAACACGTGTGTTGAATTTATTGAATCATTTTCTAACTGGCAAGCTTTAAGCTTCGCTATTTATATAAGCAATTATATCAAGTATACAATACTATAAGATATATAATTATAGTTCATTATAAGACGCTATATCTTTTGAGTGCCATACGTACATATTTTCTCTAATTAAAAATAAAACTCTGTATATTTTCTTAATATTAATGTTTACTGTTATTAACTAAAGATTTTATTAAAACGTATGAAATAATGAACGTGATCTGAAAAGCTTAATTATAATTCAGAGTTAATTATATTTTTAGTATTACTAAGATATTGGTCGAAAATAAATATTTTAAGGAGTTGAAATAGTTATAAAAAGTGTTTTCATTAAAAAAATACTGTTAAAATGTTCTCTGCAAGATTAATATTTTCACAAACTTTTTTGACGGCTTAATCTTACCCGACTTGGAAAATATGCCTAATTCAATATTTTTCTTGCTATAGCTACTAATAGCAGTTTGAAAATACTCAGTAATACTGTTGTGAAGTACAAATATAATAACCCTATGTGAATTAGCTCCTTTAAATTGCAAAGGTGTAACCAAACTTATTTTGCGACATATCGATGATATAGATAATATCGATAATCATTGTAATCGAATTCTCTCATCACTATTAATTTCCAATTTGTCACAGTAAATTCTATTTTCTTTTTTATTTTTACTTATATACCTACACTGGTAACATATTAATGGTTAATCAAATTAAAAAATATATATTCCTGTAAAACTATATTCATAAATGTATCCCATATTTTTACTAAACAACAGCACTATCCTAACTAAGAAACTGTACACATACTTCTTTTAATTGCCAAATCTCTTATTCAATTTTGAAAAGTAATAAAATGTAATTTGTATTGCTAACAAGAATCTGAAAATATAAAATAGTCGATTAATCTATATTTTCGATATGTCGATAGTCAATTTAGTTTAGTTGCTCTTTTGTAAAAAATATTTACGTTTGGGCTGACCCCCATTACTGAGGATTGTTAGTGTTATAATTATAGACTTTAAGTGTTACTTCTTTTGAGCTAAACAGTAGAGAACTACTAAATTATAGCTTTAATATAATATCATTAATTAATTACTAGATTTAGAACTGTTTCCTTTTGATATTCGCTGATGATTCTTTTTTTATTGTGTTAATGTTTACGTAAAATGTCTCAATTGCAAACAGTTTTGTATGTTAACAGAAATCAATGTCAAAATGTAAACAGAATAAGTGAACACGTTAAAAATATTTTAAATTTTCATTTGTAAAAAGATCTGTGTTCTTGCCCGACGGTTTTTTGAAAAGTTAAAACTATTAACATTTTTTTTTCTACTATCATTTTCTACACCAAGTTTTCTTGACAATCACTGCTTTACCTTTGAACCTCAGAGCTTTGTCGTACATGTTCCCAGCAATTGTATACCAAAATCATGTTTACATGGTAAAATATTAGTAAGTTGTAATACACTTTTCAACTTTGTAAAAGTAACTAACTATGTACCTATTGTTAGGTAGAATCTACCCATTTAATTTAATATTTCTTTGAGTAGCTAAATAATAAATGATTAATGATTTTCTCTTGTTTCTTTTTGTAGCATTACTCCCGGTTTCTGGTCGGTTGATCAATACTTTTCAGCTATTAAAGTCGTTAACATATAAGAACTGTAGCCTCGTGTCCTTAATTCAAATTAAATAATGAACGAGAAAATGGGTCTGAAAGAATTTCGTCACAACGATATCTCTCCTTATAGCCATCAAGACCTCTCCTTTATAGCTCCGTTTAAAGCTGAGAAATATCGGGATAGTAATCAAACAACGACTGACTGCCGCACACATACAATAATTAATGTTACCAAAGTACCCACAATTGACCGACATCACAATAGCCATCAAGGATAGCACGTTCGTATTGTTGTTAGGTTTGTCGTGACGTTAAATTCAACTTCCATAATATTAGCTTAAAAGTAATTAATCTTACTTTTTTATATGATAGGGCAAACGAGTAGGCGCATTATGTGCTTGATGGTAAGCAATCAGAGGAATTGCGAGTGCATTGCCGGACCCTTGGAGATTAGGATTGGGCCTCCGGTAACCTCCGACCACCTCCGACACATGGTGAAACACAACGCTGGTATTCTATGAAGCCGTGGTACCTATCACTCTGGTCGGGTAGTCCTTTTGGTGCATAGCAATAGCACTAATCTAACAAACAACATCGAATTTAGTTTCTTTTCATTTAATTAGTTTTTCATAAATGTACGGTTAATTATTTCAAGGCTCGAGTGAATAGGTTGCTTATGAGCAGGCATACTTCAACGTAGGTCACACCATGCGTGATCGCTGCCAATTGCCTAACCATTGGTCCATTATTAGATAAAAACAATACCTACCCCACGCAATACCCGGGGTGACATTTTCATACATATAAATATAATCTTATATATGTTATTTATAAATATATTATGTAATTTGAGTACTTAGTTTATATATATTATATTGTAACTTGTAACCTGTGTGTAAATATTTGCACATATATATGTACCTATCTCGTCTTCACTCATTTAATTTTAAGTCTGTTTGCTTGCTTCTTGCACCGACCATTGGCTCATCTCTGCATCACCCAAGGCTCGACTGGTAGAAAATGCCTAAGGCATTAAGTCCGCCTATGTACCCATTGTGCATGAAGTTTTAATAAATAAATAAATAATCTTAAATGACAACAGAAACGCCATCTGTAAGTTGTAAATTCATGTTAGTACCTAACACTATCTGTAACAGGTTCACAGTATCTAACTCTTGTCATTGTTTCTTGAAAAACTTTAGCCGTTTGGCACAAAAATTACCAACAACTGCTAAAAGATGACGCTACCTGTCTTGTTTTAAACAGTCGCCGCTTTTTCATGTTTTTAAGTTTTTAATGTTAGCTTTATAATCTAATTTAATTAGGTATGGTGTGCACAAAAGTGTGACATAATATTTGAATTATTTAAAATATGCTATCTGCGTCCATTTATTCGTAATTGGCGTTGCACTTGCAACTTTCGAATATCATTTACTTATTAACTGTATACTGTATTGTGTTACTCGTGCCCATTCGTTATGTAATATCGTTTTATAGCTCGAATAATATTTAATAGATTTTAGCCACTACTCAGCCTGCATAAAAATAGCTTTCACTCTCGGCTCTCCGATCTTCAATCTTTGGATAAAAATCAAACCAAACGAAGCAATCTATCATTTCTATTCATCATATTCTTAAGAATATCAGAAGAAAGAAGAATTTGCTTTAAAATATAACAAAAAAGAAGATTTCGGTACCTATTAGATCCTACATATCTACAAATCGCCCTTATAGGTACGCAGTGTACTCACGTGAGCACCCACCCACCTAACAAGTTAATTATTCATCATCCAAATCCGCGAATTGACTTTTACTTTGCAAAATTTAAATCGAAATATAATTAAATGTAAAACAGGGAACGATGTATAAGACGCTGGCAGTCCCCCGAGACGTATGAGACGTTCCCGAGGCATTAATTCAACCAATGTTTGCGGCTAATGTCTACTCTAATTTGCATACACTGAAACGTATGGGTTCCGTGCTTCTAATGGCATTTGTATTAGATTGCCATACACGACCATTATATCTTGAGACGTGGGATGGAGATTTGACTTTGAATCATATATATCACATCATCATCAGCCTATAAGTGCCCACTGAAGGTGCACTCTTCTCACACGCAGAAGGTTTGAGCATTAATCCACACTTGCTCAAGGCGGATAGGCGATTTTAAACTTAGGTATAATTAGAAATTAGGAGTCCAGGTTTCCTCGCGATGGTTTTCTTCACCGTATGCCAGTGGTGGTTGAATGATTTACTACTTTTGTTGTATTTTATATTTGCATTTTGCTGGTTAGACATTGTTAATAAATGATTTTTTTTTTCTGGCCCTACAGTACCTAAGTCTATTTATAGGTATCTGATTCTCGGCCTTTTTACCAAAAATAT